CCCGGAATGTAACCCAGAATTGTCAGCAACAGATCTATCCAGAACTCCACCTGCATCCATAACATCACCCCCAACACAAAAATTTCTCACAAATTTAACAACAAAAGTACTCCAAACGATAAATTTAAGAAAATCAAAATAATAAGATTTATTTATTTACAATCGAACTTACTCCGCAACCATATCGCAGAAAGACCCCAACAGGAGGCACCAGAATTGCCAGAATTACTTCAAGGAAAGTTGCTGAACCCATAATGTAGAAGCTGTCCTAATTTAATAAAATTGATATAAAGAGTACTGAAAGAGCAGATTTGGAAGAAAACTGTACTGATGATGAGTTTAAAAGAAGAGAAAGTGTTTAGCTTTGGGTGCATGAACATATGGTTACGTAGGAAGGGGACAGGTGCCATGGGGAGAGGAACTCCCAGAGTGCCACTTCAATGTGTATTTGACACGTATGAAATTCAAGCGATTTTCTAGTGTTTTCCTTTGACCAGTACCAAATTCCTAACTTGGACTTCACGTTAATGGGCCTCTATACGACCTACCTACATGGGGCTCTTGGGCTTATTTCTGGTTCTTATCATAGGCTAGATGTAAAATTACAAGACGTCAAAAGTAGAGAGATCATTCATAGTTTTCTTTAACACAAACAATTGAATTCCTTCATCACCTAAAGGCTTGTCCAAGTGACATTAAATACTTTTATTTCAATCACAAAACCCTACAAGTCTGTGGAACATTGGTTTCAATTGGTTTGGTTGGCAGAAAAAGGAACTAAATCAAAATGTATCAATAACAAGGTTATTATAGAATAAAAATAGTAGCATGAAGGAGATAGAATTTCCCCTGAAGGCAAAGGGATGAAGAAGATGATGACGACCACAGGCTATCATGGTTGATAAGCCTCAGGCAGCTGAAGGCCAACACTTGCAGCGGATTTTCCGAGTATTCTTTTCATTTCTTCTGATCTATCAACAGCTATGTTGTAAGAGAACAAGAGTTCCTGCAATAACCATCAAAACCAAAATTGTATCAGATACATAAATGAGTGGTTTCTTCCACTTGGCTAAACAGGCATTTAATTGGTAGCCTGCTATTATTAGTATTCACATATTTCCTCTTACTGTAAAACTACATCACACTCCTCTACTCCAGTTAATGCAACCCTGATGGTTGTTCTTGAACAGGTTGCAACTGATTCAATTTCAATTCCTTCTTCAAAACAACCGATTCATATGAACTCTGACACATAGGCATAGCTCGGACATTATGCAAATATATTTTATTGACCACTGCAGTTCCCTCTCAACCCACGGAAATTAAACACTCAAATAAAACCAAAATCAACCAAATGGAGGAAACTTGCACCTTGTGATGATGGATGCTGTTAAGTAGAAAAGTGTAATCACTGGCAATCTTGATCTTCTGTCTTATTAATGAAGGGTCTGAAAGTTTATGGTTCTTCTGGAACTCTTCTGTTATGTACTCACTAAAGTGCTTCTTGTAGTCTTCCTTTCCAATATGCTTCTTGACAGCCCTGAGAAGGTCACGATACACCTTAGCTGCTTGCAAAGCTTGAGAACTCATTTTCAATCCTTCACTCTGGTTTTCACTATCTTCTTTCCCTCCCGTTGCTTCCTGCATTGGATTCAAAACTTTTAGCAAGTATAACCAAAGATCTCCACAACCGAACTTCATGTAGTCTACTTTTCTCATATGTGATAACAAAGAATAGCATATGGAGTAAAAGAGTAAAGACGATATTGCAGTATGCAGTGTGTTCGAAGGCAAAAGATCCAATAAAACTTTAGGCAGAAAGGTACAAATGTAATAATTGCTCTCTACAACTAACTGCTCTGCATTGCAGGGTGAATAAAGAAACTCATAAGCAGAATTGAAGAAAACAACAAAATCATTGAGTAATAGAAATCTGGGGGCTTCTGGGTCACAGATATCATTGCCCCCAAAACAATAGATTCTCATAATCTGATAAATCATACACATTACACGCAATTCAGCACCAAAGAAAATTAGTTACCATTCACTGAAAATTTATAAGATGATAATTGCAAGTTAAAATTCTACGAATTTTAAGTGATCAAAATAAAGTTCAAGATTTAATTCATCAGATAAATAATAGAAATTCACATCCTTTAGCCAGGATTAGAAAATCCTTATATTTCCCCGTCCACCGCAGCTATGTAAAACCAGTAACTGTATCAAACGGAAAACATCCTGTAGAAGAATAAATTCGTAAATACCTAAATCCTAATTGAGGATTTTATCAGAAAATACCCAGAAGCAATGAGAAACATGATTCGGAAATCAGTCGCTAATGGCAAAAAACCCAAATTTCTCGAACCAAGAAATCTTTAAAAAAAAAAAAAAATTACCACAATTCAGAGGACCCAGATGGCAAGGCTTGAAAGGGAGATCGGAGAGAGAGCTTACAATTTTTCACGGCAGATAAAGAGACAGAAAGAAAGCTGGAGAGCTGTGAAGCTGCCTAATATTACAATTGGGAAAATCTCTTTCTTCTTCTAATTGGGAAATTTTTTTGTTAAAGAAATTGAAAAACTATTTTCCCTTCTCAATTACCCCAACCGCTTGTAAATTATTTAAGGGGTTGTTTAACTTGTATGGTAAAATTTTTTTTGAGATTTAAACCGTATCAAATAATATCTATTTATTTATTACCTTGCATATTAAAAATATAAATTGTCTTAAATATTAATAATAAGAATTTTTAATCTAAAATATTAATCACTTGACTAATTATAACTTCATTGAAGAGTTGTAGAGGGCAGAAGAAGGCATTTTCATTTGTATTACAATTTAGGAGCAAAAGAAAATGAAGAAATCAGCCACTATTGTCTATACTTTATGGCTGCAATATCTCAAAATCGAGAAAATAAATTAGCTTACAAAAATCAATATCTACATTACAAAAATAAAAATCTCAATGCCGTGAACGTGAAGTTCTTATATTCACATTTCTTTGACGTTGTAGAACCATCAAAATTGTAATGGACTGCACATTTATTGTCAATGCCGAACAGGGCACTTCCTGATAGACCTGATGATTCTGATCCCCATACCAAGGTTATCGTCCCTCTTGCCTCGCCATGAAAGTACTCATCATCTTGACTCTCGTCTCTTTTTGGCTAAAATATACTAAAAATCTTTGGAGTGGAGATTTTATATATACCTTTTTGTGCTCCAATTGCACAACTGGCCTAGGATACAATTAGGGTATATTGTTAATCAAGTAGGTGCTGGCGTGAAAACCTCAATGCCCACTTTTGATGATTTCAATTTAGCTGCTCAAGTCAACCACCAGTTAGTTGCATAACTGGCTTCTTCTTGCATCTGAGTCCTGTCAAAATGATGCATGCCAATGACATTTAGAAGAAAGAAATGGGGCCATAGAAAGAAAAGAAAAAGCATCATAAAATGTGTTCATGTTTCCCAAACTCATGCAACTTAGAATACTTATCCACATCAAATTGCATAGAAATTTATGTAGTTCTCCTAATTTGAGTCACGGAGTTAACTCTAATCATACCCACACTGTTATTCAAATATCTATGCTTCATGAACAAACCAGCAGCTCAGCAACAAGGTTTGCATTTGCAAATTTGTACTTCCACATAATTAACCTGGCAAAGCATCTCAAGAAGCAACATAAACTTCCTCTTTAAAATCAATGCAAAATGGCATGATACTTGCTGCATTACACGTATGAAGTTTACTTGGGAAGTTTACTGTGAGAGAAGATTTTGCAATTGGATGTGAAGGCTTAGCACCATGTAGAGCAGACTGGTTTTGCTTGTTCTTAATAGCAAAACCAAAATGTTCCATGGCTCTAGAACCTGGAACACACAGCTTAACTCTATTTTCCCAGATTTCAGTTTCCTCCATTTAGAGTTTAAGCCTATGTAACATTTTATTAATGCACAGGTATCTTCAATGACCCATAAATAGTCTGTCCTCATAGCTAAATACCTTCTTTCTCTACCAACCATTATCAGAAAAGCCAAAAACATTACAAGCCAAGAAATAAGTCCAAGTTCATAATGTAAAAAGAAAAAGAACGGTTCAAACAAATCCAGACATGCAGTAGAGACCTTGCAGGTTCCTTGATAGTTAGTGTATGACCAACAATCATGCATTAGCAATGCTCATCAATGGACAAGTAAAGGAAAAGTATCTTACCTAAGAAACAGGTATGCTGAATTTATGTCAAATAATGGAGGTCTTGCTAGCTGTGTTTGCCATATGAGAATGGTACATCAAAGATTAACTACTTTGGCCTTTTTGATGTGCTTTTCCGCCTCTTCATGAGTCCATCCATTAGAGTAATGTAAGTGGATTTATTTAAATTAACACCCTTCTGAGTTGATTCTTGAAAAATTTGCATTGCATCTTTGTATCTTCCCTGACTGCATAGCTCATTGATCTGTTCTGAGTAAGCAACGGAATATTGATCACATTCCTTGTCAGTCTTACTAGACTCCACATCTTTCTCCTCCAACTGGAGGGAGTGATGCTCTAACTTTCTAGTTTCAACTAATTTTGAAATGAACTCTTCTGCTTCACTTACTTTTCCAGCATACATAAGTGCACTGAGAATGGAATTATACGAATAGCGATCAGGCACTAAATTCTTTTCTTCAATTTCTGAGAGCAGATCAAATGCTTCCTGAAATCTCTTTTCCTTGCATAAGCTTGATATCATTGTGTTGTAAGTCACTACATCAATGGCTTTCCCTTTTGAAGTCCAAGTCTCAAAGAGTTTGAGGGCCTTTTCCAGCTTACCCTCTGCACAAAGCCCGTGAAGAAGAATGTTGCGTGTAACCACATCTGGCTTAAATGAGTTTTCAACCATTTTGTTATGAAACTGAAATGCTTTCTCAACGTCCCCCTCCTTGCAGTACCCATGAATAATTGTATTGTACGTAGTTTCATCAGGGATCAGGCCACTCTCAAGAAGCTCATTCAACTTGTCTATAGCTAGCTCAGTTTTTCCCAAGTGGCAAAGCCCACTAATTAGAGTATTATAGGTACTGATACTAGGAATGATCTGTTTCTTTGTCATCTCACTCCATAGATTCAAAGCTTTGTCTGGCTTTTCATTCTTGAAATATCCCATAATCAAAGTGCCATAACTCACCTCATCAAGCAAATAACCTCTCTTGCAGGCATTGAAGAGCATATCATACGCCTCCTCAAGCTTCCTCTCACTGCAAAGAGTGTGGAGGTAAGTATTAAGAGTAATAGTATCCATCTTCAAACCTTTCCTACCCATCTCATCCATCATCCTGAAAGCTTCAGCTAGCTTCCCTGCCTTACAATACCCATGAATCAAAGTATTGTAAGTGACTTTATCTGGAGAAAATCCACTCTGCTCCATCAACTGGATCCTTTTACCAGCCTCATCCATCTTCCCTTGTTTGCAATACCACTTAACAACTATGTTATTAGTAACTGCATTCACCTCCAATCCTTTCTTGCCCATTTCCTTGATTAACTTAAAAGCCTCCTCACTACTCCCGCACTCAAAGTACCCATTAATCAATGTATTATAACTAACAACATCTGGGGACAGCTGCAAATTCTCCATATCATTCTTCAACCCAAACGCCTCATCAATATTTCCCTCATTGCATAATGCATTCATCACCATATTATAAGTCCAAACATCTGGCGACACCTTATTCCGTGTCATCAATTCCATCACTTTCACAGCATCCTTTACCCACCCCATCTTACAATACCCTGCTACAAGAATATTATAGGTATTTCTATTAGGAAGCAATCCACTCTCCTTCATATCCTTCAACAGATCCCTTGCCTCATTCAATCTACCCTTCTTGCACAAGGCATCAAGAATTGTATTATAAGTCACATTATCAGGACTACATCCAAACTCCTTCATTTTCCTGATACTCCCTATAGCCTCCTGAAAATTTCCCTCTAAGCAACACCCATGAATCAAGATATTAAAAGTATTCGTATTGGGTACAACCCCGAGCTTAACTGCATGATCAAACACCTCCTTACCTTCACGGATGGAGTGAGAGGAAGGGAACTTAACGAGGGCGTTGATAAGTGAGTTGCAGGTGATAACATTCGGTGGCTTATTGAGTCTCTTCATTTTATTGAAAATCTGCAATGCGAAGTGCGGCTTCTTGCAGTGGAGGTAGGCGGCGAGGGAGATTTCGAGGATGGGTTTGGAAGGCTTGGGAAAATGGAGGAGAGAAGGTAAGAATTTATTCTGGACATCGGAGGAGATAAAAGAGATGATGAGAGATTTGGCAGCGGAGAGCTTCTTGTGGTGGACAAGGGGAGGGAGGAGGGAGAGGAGGAGTGAGGAGCATGAGGAAAGGGAGGGGAAGAGGGAGAGGGAGAGCTTGTGTAGGGAAAGGAGGGTGTAGGGGCGGCGGGAAAGGGATGGGGAGGAGATGAGGGACTTGATCAGGGAAGGGGATAAGCGTGAGATGTAAGGGGAAATGGAATCAATGGGTGCATCGGAAGAAGTTAAGATTTTCGTTAGGGTTTGCAGCAGCTCTGCTTCTGCCGGTGGTGGCATCACCATTGTTAGGGTTTTGGCATTCTGAACAGATGCCTCCGGCCGATTCTATTGTTTACATGTAAAAATGAGAAGTTGAAAACTTATTTAGCCCTCTAATTTACTTGAAACTTTCAAATTAGTTCCTTCCTAAAGTTTGTTTTCCATCCATTACATTTTTAAACTTAGAGCATGTAAGATGGAGAACATTCCAAAACTCATTTTTAGAGTATATTTAGTAAAATTTATAAGAGTTTCAGTATTTTGACATTATTTATATTTCATAAATTTAAATTTTTTTCTTAAAAACTTATATTTTTTAATTTTTTTAACATTAAAAAGATTTTAAATAGTAAATTTTGAAAAGTTTCGAATTAGTGTTTTTTATAAACTTTCTTTTTATTCACTTCTTACTCAATTTTTTCTATTTTAAAAAGCAATTTAAAATTTTTTTTCAATGAAAATTTAAATTTATCACTTATAAATAGTATAAAAAAAATAAAAACTATTACAACTTTCACCAAATATGCTCTTAGTGTTGTATCATCAAAATTAATATTATTTTATATAAATTTATATTTATATATATTTAATTTTAAAACAAAACACCTTTTTCTAATGCAATTTGAAAACAAAACTTTTTCCAAAATCACACAACTATTATTTGATTTTAATCAAAATTAATATTATTTTATATAAATTTATATTTATATATATTTAATTTTAAAACAAAACACCTTTCTCTATTGCAATTTGAAAACAAAACTTTTTCCAAAATCACACAACTATTATTTTATTTTAATCACATTTTGTATATTTAAATAAAATAATTAAATTAAATAAATTTCCAAAAATTAAAAA